TATTCCCCCATCCCATGTGACAGGACTCTGCCGGGCTGCCACCTCCTCCAGGAAGCCTTCCCGATCGCCCTGCCCTGTGCCTCCCTGAGGAGCTCCTCCAGGCTCCTCAGCAGACACATGTAAGCATTGAACTTGTCTGTTTGCTTCCTGTCTCCCTGTCTCCCTGTCACCCCGATTTTCCAGGGCAGTTGGTGAAGTCACTGACAGCCCATGTCCCCTGCACCACAGTGCCCTGGTGCTTGGCTGGGCACAGAATGGGCAGCCCTGGAGGAGTGAGTGAACACATTCAGAGAAGCAGAAAGACCACAGCCTGGGCTTGCTCCTTGTCGTCACCTGGCAGGGTGGTGCCTTGTCGGGGTCCCCCACATCCGTGCCCATGGCTGATCCCAGTTCTTTCTCTCTGCTCTTGGGGCTGCATGCAGAGCAAGTGCCACCCCACTAAACAGAAGGAAAAACTGAGGTGCAGGCATGTGGGTAGACGTACAGAGGCTCGGAGCCGAGCAGGTCGTTCATTGTGCATGGAGGGAAACAGAGGTGTGGTTCTACCCAAGAGACCTCAGCGTGTCAGGGCCAGTCCTGGGCTCCTCCCTGGGCATCTTTCCTCCGGGGTGCTGGACTCTGAGCCCCAACAGGCCGCTCTGCACCAAGCTGTCAGGAGGGATCAGCAGCCCCAGCTTCTCCCTAGATTTAATTAGCGGGTCTTTCATCTCGGTCCTGGAGGAGTTAGCTATCTCCTGTCTCCTTAATTAACGTTCATTAAGCAAATCAGAACAACGGAGTCTGCTCCCTCCTCCTTGCCTGGAAGGTTTTAACCCTTGGTAGGTGGGCTTTGGGAGGGGAGCCCGAACAGAGGGCCTGTACAGGCACCTAAGCCTCCCCCCGCCACCCCCACACAGGTAGGGACGAACCCCCCTGCCGCCACCTCCACGTGGACTCCTGGACTCCACCCTGTCCAGCTCCCTTCAGGAAGTGACAGGCATGCCGTCACTCTAGAACCTTACATGGCTCCCTATTGCTAGATCAGAGCCTTGCCTTTTCATTCTGTCCCTCACCAGTCCAGCCTCACCTCCCTTGCTCCCCGCACCCCCTCATCCCTTTCCCTTCCATCCCCTGCTCTGTAATGCGTGGAAGCCCTGCCTGCAAGGTCCCTTTCCCTCCCAGGCTGCCATTTCCAGAGAGATCCTAGACAAAAATCTCCTGGAGGAGGACAGGGTTCAAAGCTAGCAGGCCATATGACAGTGAGTCCAGGGACTGGTGCCTGCATGGCCCTTGCAGGGGCATGTGGCCTTGGGGTGGGGGTGGGGGGCTTTCACTCTTCAAAGTGGAACACAGGGACTGTCACACAGGGCTTCGAGGTTGGGCCTCAAAGCTCCAGGCTAGAGGGAGATAGGCCATGTGAGCTTCTGTGGGTTTGGGGTTACATTGCTGTGGGGTCCTGGGTTCAGGGGACAGACATTGGCCCTCCCCAGAGCCTCCTCTTGCCTCACATTTTCTTGCAGTGTGAGCATCATAGGCCTTGTGTATGCTAGGCATGCACTCTGCTACTGAGCTGCCCTGCAGCCCTTCCAAACCTCATCTTTACAGAGTGGCACAGGGTAGGCCCCTCACCCCCCAGAGGGGTGAATGTGTGGGTTGGCACAAGGTAGACCACCTTCCGGAGGGGTGACTGTGTGGGTTGGCACAGGGTAGGCCCCCCACCCCAAGGAGGGGTGAATGTGTGGGTTGGCACAGGGTAGACCCCTCACCCCCCAGAAGGGTGAATGTGTGAGTTGGTGCAGGGTAGACCACCTTCGGGAGGGGTGAATGTGTGAGTGAATCTTGAAAGCACAGTAATGGTAGCAGCACCGGCTCCCTGATGGACACGTAGCCACACCCTCTCATGGTCCAGCATCGCACACGGGCAGTCCCCAGCTGTCCCACTTAGCCCTTTCCAGCTGCTACAGATAAATGTATTGCCATTCTCACTCATATCTTGAGAGTCCTGAGACTTGAGGGTGCACAGACACCCCTATGCATTGGAGGCACACTGTATTCTGTGCCCGTCCCAAACCCTCTCTCAAGAAGAGCCAACCACATGGAAGGGAGGAACTTGGTCTCTTATTGCCCTGACATGTCATTTCCCCACTAAAGGCCCCAGTTCCTGCTTTGTACAGCTGGACCCAGACCTCAATGACTTCACAGGGCCATTATCTTGGATTCCAAGACTAAGGGAGTTGGGTGACTGACTATCAGCCACAAAGCCCTCCCAGGAGGGAAGGACGAAAGCCATCCGGTACACTTCCCTTCATCCAGTGTTATTCCCACTGAGCCTGAAATGTGGGCACCCACCCATCTGCCTGGACAAGAGACTCCCCAAGATCTGTGGTGAGTGTGGGAGCGAGTGTCTGTCCTAGACAGTGGGGTGAGGCCTGCCCCCTCCTGCTGTGTGTTCCTGAGAGTCTCTCCTGTCTCCGAGGCCCCCTGGAGTCTGTCCATCTACAGGGCTGTGCCAGGCTGTACAGGCCTGTTGTGTGGGGCCTAGGTGGTAAGAAACAGGCTGGAGGAGAAAGGCCGGCAACCTTCCCTGGACTTCATTCCCTTCTCGGGTCTGTTCTTGACCACTGGTCAACTCCACACAGCTGTGCAACCATGGGCCGCGGGGTTTTTGGCCTGTAGGGGGCAAGAGAGGCCTGTCCCTGTACTACAGCCAATGTCGCCACCTGGTGGTTAACACTGTACACCTTGGGGCAAGGGACCTTGGGCGCCTCTCAGCACCTCCACTGAGGCCACCAGCCAAGGCAAGGTTGCTGGTCCAGTTGGTAATCATCCAGCTGGCCCTGAAAGAGACCATCGCCTCTAGTCCAAACCAGCCTGGAGTTCTGTGCATCCCACAAATATGCCCTGGATGCTGCTAGGTGCAGACATCCTCTGTGGTGGTCTCTCCCTGCTCATCCCGCGAAGGCGCCCCGGGGGCTAGCCGGCCAGCCTGTTGGAGTGGAGAGTAGGTTCTGGTGACGGGATGAGACTAAAGCAGGGTGCCATGGTATCAGTCCCACACCACGCCATGAACTTGTCTTTGTGCTGTACAGGGACTGCAGGCTGGGTACTTACTTACTTTCTTTCTTTTTTAAAGATGTATTTATTTATTATGTATACAATGTTCTGTTTGCATGTATCTCTGCAGGCCAGAAGAGGGAGCCAGATCTCATTACAGGTGGTTGTAAGCCACCATATGGGTGCTGGGAATTGAACTCAGGACCTCTGGAAGAACAGCCAGTGTTCTTAAACTCTGAGCCATCTCTCCAGCCCAGGCTGGGTTCATTCAAGGGGTAAGAGCCAAATGTGCCTCACCCTGGTGTCCCCACGGCCTGCACAGTGAGGGTGGACAGAGAGGGTGGAGCTTGCCCGAGCCCAGTCTAGCCAGCCTTGCAGAATCATGGAGCTGTATCTTAGCAACTTGTGTGTGAAGAGTAGAATCTTGGCTTCACTGTAGGGACCGTTGTCAATGATCTGGGCTCTGGGCTGCATATTACTCCAATGCTTAGGTATTTCTGACAGGGCCTTATTTATGTGCTTGGGAAGGTTGGAGGGACCTGAGGGGCTCCCAGGGAAGCTGGGACAGTGCAGTCACCTCTGCGGGCTCTGATTGAAGCCCCCTGGGGGGATCGGGAAGCCACTGGGGCTATGGCTAGCACACAAGGGCCTCAGGCTGTAGAGATGGAATAGACAGGGCGAAGCCTCCCTTCTCCAGGACCTCATGTATCCCAGAACATTCAGTCTGAAGGGCAGAGGACAGCCTCGGGGATCCTGACTGCAAAGGCAGCTAGGTGGAGAAGATTTGGGGCAGTCTTAGTGGGACAGAGGCTGTGGGCTCTGCCACAGCCACATGGGTGGTACAGAAAGGACCCAAATGCCGTGTGACTAATGGCGTCTGTATCATGCAGCACGGATCCCTCGCCTACTCAGTCTCTCAAGTAACTCAATAAAAGCCTCATAGGTTGAACTGAGAGAGAAACTAAGGACCTCACTCAAGCCGCGTCCTTGACTGAGAGTTATTAGGGGTGTTGTGGGGGAGTCCACTATGCCCTGCAGCCTCGGTCTGTCACTTCGACATCACTGTCTCCAGCTCACCCCTTCCTGTGGGGCCAGCCCACACAGGCCATCCAAGTGCTAACAGGGGGCAACACTGGTCCATTTCCATCCTGTAATTACACACCGACTCGACACACTCATGAACAAGCTTGGCTATCTCCGTTCCACCAGCTGTTTGTTCAAGGAATCCCCGTGACCCCTGTACCTATGGGTGTGAGGAAGGAAACCCCGGAGTGAGGCAGCAAGCTCCCCTACACAGGTTCCCGGCTTCGCTGGACCACCAGTGCCTGACCCGAAGAGAACCACCTCCCTAAACCTGACCCTAACTCCCATGCAGGCCTGGACCCCTGCTGGTTCTCCCCACCCTAGGTCTCGTGGGTCTGACAGTGTCCTGCTCAGGGAGGTGTCCCTGCCATGGGGTCATGCTGTTCCACTATCTACAAGGGGGGCAGCTGCCTTGGGAAGGATATTAGCTTGGTGGAGAGAAGGGGAGGCCTCTGTTGAGGAGAGGAAGGCCCTTGGTAAATCGCAGGTGAAAAGTATCAGCTTTTGGGAGGAGAGAAGCCAAGAGCCGCAGCACTTTTGAAGGAGAAACGCGGACAGGTACGGAAGGAAACTCCCAGAGGTCATTCCGCCAGGTGAAGAAGGGCTTGCACTTGCCTTGCCTTTCGGCTCTGGAGGGTTCACCAGGGCTTCCATAGAAATGTCCCACTAATGGTGTCTTTACCAAGCCCATTTCTCAGACCGCGGGCCAGGCTGGCTCACAGTCCCGGGTCGCAGCCCAGCCAGAACAAACAGGCACTCCCGGGCACGTCCAGCAGGTGGGGGTGAGCACGAAGGGACTGAGCTCGGATGGTGGGGTGTCGCCTGCGTGGGTCCCGCCCTCAGATGCCGTCGGGTCCCGCCTGCAGGGGAGGGCTGCGGGGCCAGTGGAGCGCAGAGGGGTCGAGCGCCGAACGCGGCGCAGAGTGGATCGGGGCGCAGCGTGGATCGGGGCACGAAAATGGCTGTGTCCGGGGTCCTGTCCCGCCTGGCAACGGTGGCGTCGGTGGCGCTGGTGTCCCTGGTGGCGCTGGTGATGCTAGAGGCGCGCTGCGCGGAGGGCGCGGGCATGGGCTCCTGCTACGACGGCGCGGGGCGCGCACAGCGCTGTCTGCCTGAGTTCGAGAACGCGGCGTTCGGCCGTCGCGCCGAGGCCTCGCACACGTGCGGACGCCCTCCCGAGGACTTCTGCCCGCACGTGGGGGCTCCCGGCGCCGGGCCACAGTGCCAGCGCTGTGACGATGCGGATCCCCGGCTCCGCCACGACGCCTCCTACCTCACAGACTTCCACAACCCCGATGACAGCACCTGGTGGCAGAGCCCATCCATGGCTTTCGGGGTGCAGTACCCCACCTCGGTTAACCTTACCCTGCGCCTAGGTAAGCATGTGTCCCCTGTCACCTTGTCTCCATCCCATGGAGACCCTGGCAGAGGAGGAGGGCTGTGCACCTGGGGCAGGCTGCAGGACCCAGATGTAAGAAGTCAGGACCCGCGGCCTCTGAGCTGCCGGAGACCAGACCAAGGGGCGCCCCTAAGGGTTTCTGGGGGCAGAAAGCCTCCTTCAGTTTTTGCAGAGCTGTGAAACTGGGTGAAGCAACAATTCCCAGGAAGAATTGTTAGAGAAGTGTGTGTGTGTGTGTGTGTGTGTGTGTGTGAGAGAGAGAGAGAGAGAGAGAGACCGAGAGAGAGACAGAGAGAGAGAGAGACAGAGACAGAGACAGAGACAGAGACCTCCACGATGACCTGGTCCAGGCAGGGACTCCTAACCTGGTCAACTTCAAGGCCCAGTGGACCTCCAAGGTTGTGAGCAGTCTGGGAATGGGAGGCAGGTGAAAGCTGTAACATCCTGGACAGGACAACGGTTTCTTCCTGCCACTGGATAGCCACTTGGCACATTGTTGGTGACTTGCTCCACCCAGCCTGAGCCAAGGTGCAGGAGCATTGGGCCCCTGGGGATAGGAACCCAGGGCCTCACCTCCACCCTGAAGCTGGACTCTTCTCTGCCCACTCCAAGTCCAGATGAGCCCATTGTCTTCCTTGCTATGTCCTGGACACTGTGTGAATCTTCCAAAGCTTTGATAACTTGGATTTGGTATTTTCATAATTCATTTTGGCACTAAATCTGACCTGAGGCTCTTTATAGGCTTCGTGTATCTCAGTACGAGCCAATATTCATACGTTTTGCTACTGAAATCTCATTGGCGTACAGCCTCCAAGCCCAGAATGAAGGCCGTTAGGTAAGCACTCCATCCCTTAGCTCCATACAGCCTCACAATAATACCCCTGAGAAGTTCTGAATTCCAAAACACAGCCGGAGCCAGCAGTTTGGATAACAGATGATGAACTGTCCCCATGAAAAACTGGAAGCTCAGAGAGGGTAAGCGCTTTGTGCACAGACACACAGCTGCTGAACAACAGTCAGGACACAGACATTCCTGTGCAATGGAGATCAGAACATGAACTTGGCATGTGCTGCAGCACTCATGACTAAGCTGGTTCTTCCCCATGGGTGGCAAAGCCCTGGCAAGACTAGGAAATGGCCTTGTCCTCGGAAAAGAGAGGTGGGAAGGGTATTTAACCCCTTCGGCAGCACAGGCAGGCACATTCCTTTTGCATCCCAAACCCACTTCCCAGGGGTGAGGACATGGTCTGACTGTCCAGAGCAGGACGTGGAACTTGGGTGAGGTGGGGTCTGCCCAGACAGGAAGCAGGAAACTAGGGGAGTTGGCTGACGGGACTGGCAAGACCCCAAGGCCATGGGAGGAATTTGGGGCAGGGTGAGGGACTGTGAGGGAGACACAGTGTTCCTAACAAAGACTGTCACATGTGCCCATGAAATCTAGATGCCAAGGAGGGCTCAGGCCTCAGGCACTGGGGGAGGGAGAGGCAGAGTGGGAAGTCCGTGGTTGCCGTAGGGGGCAGCCGTGTCCATAGCAATACTTGGACCATGCCTGACAAGTGCGCCTGCGACCTTTAGATACTTCAACGAGCAGTCTCCAGGCATCACGGATCCTCCATTGTGAATGTGAGTGTGGGCGAAGACTCCACGTGCTCACACACGTACAAGGCACATACATCTGGGGGTGGGTCTTCCCATCCTACTGGACAGCAGCACCAAGCTCATAGGTGGGAGGCCAGAAGAGTTTGTACCATGAATGAACGACTGTCTGAGTGAGTGAATGAATGAATGAATGACAGTGTCACACTGCATCCTGGACACTGGGCCAGTTCAGTGTTCTCTTGCTGGTTCCAAAAGCCGGATGGGGTATAATCATGCAGTGGGACTTTGGACTCAGGCATAGCGTAGCCACTACGGAGAAGTTGGGACTCCGTGTTGCACCTCAGTTTCCCTGCCTGTACTGTGGGGACAAGAGCAGGGCTGGGGAAGTGGCTCTGTTGATGGGGTGTTTTCCTAGCACGCACAGGCCCTGGGTTCAATCCCAGCACTAAACACTGCTGATGGAACTCGGGAGGTAGAGGCAGGAGAATTAGGAGCAGGCTAGCCTTGTCCTGTCTCAAAAAAATAAAAATAAGAAGTTGCTGCCTCTGAGGACAGTAACGCAGCGACAGTGCTCAGGAGCCACCATGGCCCTCATGGGTGGGCAGGAAGCCCTGGGTAGGGGCTGAGCCCTGTGGATGGGCTCTGAATCAGGGAATAAGGGCTCACCCTGTTCCAAGGCATCCGGGACCAGAGCCGGGTTGTGACGGCCCATTTGGGAACTAGCTGTCTTAATTTTGCTGCAGCTAACTCATGGGTCATGATATCCAGAGTTCCTTGGCCATTAGCTGAGGTGGGCTGGTCACACCCCAGCAGTCCTCTGCTGCCCCTGTGTGCTGGGTGGGAGGGGCGAGTCGGAAGCAGCTCTGGCCAGGGTCCCCTGGAGGGGGTGGGGTGAGGAGTGGGAGAAGAGGAGGCGGAGGTCGGCTAAGGATGGAGGTCACAGCGTTCCCAGCGCCCCGCAGCTCCTGACATCTGGTCCAGATCCTATCCCGCAGTTGCTGCTGAGCTAGGTCTTCCTGCCCATAATGAAAGGCCACAGTGGGGATGGTGGAGCCGGCTGCTCTCAGGGCTTCACTGAGGCCTGGAGAAGACAGCAGGGCTGGGGTGAGGGGTGGGTGGGAGGGAGGATAGGGAGGGCCATGGAGTGACAGACTGTTCAAGGACCAGTTAGTGGCTGTGCCTGAACCAAAGACACTCTCGCCAGCGTTTCAGCAGGGCGGAATTTATTCTTCACATATGGGGAAACTGAGGCTCTGAGGTTCAGGGTCATACAGGGTAAAGAATGGCTCAACTCCAGAGCTCCGCTGTCTGCCCTTAGGACAGAGTGGAAGGGGCAGCCTGACCCTGAGCTTTCTGCCCTCCATCCCAGAAGAAACCGGTGTGGTGGCTCTTGGTGTCTGTCCTCTTGTCTTGGGTTGTCAGGACTCTCCCAGGACTACAGAAAAACGCAGCTGGGTCCCAAGCCCCCAAGTGGAGGGGGAGGTAGCCGGATAGGCCACTGACATCCATCTGCCTGGTATTCAGGGAGCCTATGACCTTGGCTCTTAGCCATAAGAATACAACTATGCCCATGACTTCAGGCCAGCCATGAGACACCGTGGGGAGAATCAGAGCTCTGAGAACACAGGTGAGGCACAGAAGCCTCAGTGGGGGCCGGCGGGCGGGCGGGGGAGGTCAGCCTGGCCTTTCAGGGCCTGCAGGTACTAAGAGCTGAGAGAAGCCACAGCACTGGAGGCCTGAGGGAGAGACAGGCAGCTCCATGGATCTGGAACCCTCCAAGCCTAGATGGCCCCGGGGGAGGAGAGAACACCGTAGAGGTTAAGCAGCCACAGTGGAGGGCCCGGCTTGGCTAGGAATGGGACCAGGGACCCTGCAGGACCCCAGAGGCCCCAAGGCTCCTGAGTCTCCTGAGCTTCGGCTCTGTTGTGACCCCTCTGGAGTGGGTGGTATGTTTGCCTTGGCTAGGGCCAGAGCCCGGGGACAGAGTCCTCAGTCCACCTCCTCAGGGGATTTGGCTGGAATGCTAGGCCCCAGGCAGGTCAAGAGTCAAGGCAGTGGTCTTGGACAGCCTCCCTCCACCCACAGAAGTGGCCCTGGGCCAGCTGGCCCCGCCCCCACTCCCCAGGGCCTCCCACAGGGATCTAGGAGCTGCAAAGGTGGAGGGTCCTGCAGTGGTGGGGAGGACAAATGGCTTACCAGCCTCCCATAATCCCTTTCCGCCTAACCTGTTCTGACAGAAGCCGTGCCTCCCTCCAGACAGCAAAATGTGGCTCTTCTTCCCTTCCTGTGGGGTCTTGCTGTAAACACCCCGACTTCTACTGGCTCACTTTCTCTTCTCAACTTCTGGGAACCCAGACTAGCTCATAAACCAGTGGGCACCCACTGGGTGCCAGATCCCAAGTCCTGGGGTTGTGGCAGAGAATCTGCCCTGTCCACTCAGCTTAGGATGCCCTCCTTCAGGAACTTCCGGCCAGGCCTGCACTCACCTGCCTTCCTGCCCTGGCCCTGAGTACCACCATCATCCCTAGGTGTGAGTGGAGCAGGGCCCTTGTTTTCAGGCTTCCCCTCACACCCAGCCCCAGGCCCCCTGGCTCTGGCCTTTGGTCCATGTCAGTCAGTGAATACCAGAATGACTGAACAGTGGCTGAAGTTTGCTTGTGAGCCTTGAGGACGTCTGATCACTTTGCCCTCTAATTATCACGCTCATTTTGCAGATAGGGAAACTGAGGCACAGCACTGACCTACCCAGTTATCAAGAGAGAAGTCAGGCATCTATCTGACCAGTGGATCTCCAGCGCCCAGCGTCCTCTGCAGGCGCAAGGGAGGGAGCGAGTGGAGAAATGTTGAGTGAAGGTTGGTCCCTCTAGAGGCATTGCTGAAGTGTTCCAAAACATGGCTTCCTCCCTGCCTGGCCCTTCTGAGGCCAGCCAGCCCTTACCCCATCTCATGGCCTGACTTCACCTGCTGGAATCGGGATCCACCTCTGAGATGACCTACCCCTTCCCAAAGGCATCACTTGTCTCCGCCCAGCTTCCCACCCGAGCCCTAGGCTGGACCATTTTAGCAGCTTCCAAACACCATGTGGTCCTCGGAGCTCAAGCAAGGGCCCAGAAAGAAAGGCCCCTGCAGTGCTTCAACAGTCAGGCGTAGTAGCTAGCGCGGCTGCGTGGGGACCGTCTGCACAGTGTGATTGTTACCCAGCCCAGAAGTGAAGCAAAGTGAAGGGCACTAGTCACAAGGGGACAAGTGCTTCCTGTTCTACTTCTAGAAAGTTCCTGGAGCCGTCAAATTCATAGAGGCAGGAAGTAGAAGGGGCCACGAGGGACTGGGGAGGGGATGGAAAGTAAGTGTTTAAGTGGCAGTGTTGGTGACGGCATC